TGGCCATGGCCACACAGCAGGTTGTTGCAGAGTCAGGCTTAGAGTGCCCATCTCTGGATCTCTGGTCTGGTGGCCTGCCCCTATACCCAGACACAATGGTGAACAGCAGCAGCATAAAACCCTAAACTGAATAGCAGCCTTGCTGTCTTTCTCTAACTTAAATACTTGGAAAGGCCAGTTGGCAGCTCAGCTCAGTTTTGCAGCTATTGTCACTCAAGGTGGACACTACAAGCACCAGATGCAGTTCATGTCAGTGGGCAAGAAGCAGGTCAGGGGGAGGCCTCTGTAGGACACTTCTTGGGTGACCTTTGGCAGAACCTTGTTGCTACCGGCAGACTGGCACTGTGAACCTCCTGCCCCACAAAGCAGTGCCAGGATGAATTAGGGTTCCCTGCCACTGGCGAAAAATGTTAGCCTCTTGCTGAGGCAAGATGGCTCCAGCCCCACAACAGATGTCTTGTGCTTGAGTCATGTTACTTAACTGCCCCACACTCTCAGTCTCTCCATCTTTAACCTTGTCCTTTCCTGAGTGACTTATCCCATTCAGCTCAGTGGAGGAGGGACCATCCTTTCCCCTGCATGTAGGTGTGGGGCCTAACAAATGGTTCCTAACAAAGGATACTTAACAAAGGGTTCCTAATTGACAGGTTATCATCTACTGAGATGGTGGCAGCCAGGGGCAGATCCAGGGCAGGCGCAGTGGTACCCCTCTGATTCCTAGTCCATGCAAAGTTTAAAACCAACTGTCTGGCAGTGTCAGCAGCATCTCTATTCTGGCAGCAGCAAGGGAGTCACTTAACTTCATGGCTCATTATAACCTACCACACCATCTGCACCCCCCTAGAGTCTTCTTCCATAGGTGTTAATCACCCTCTCTTTAAGTCTTGATATTCCCCATATCACCCTAGCCTTTCTTTTGCAGTCCTGCCCTCTGTTAGCTGCTCCTGATACTGTGGCTCCAGTTTCACAGCCCTGCAGGTTGTTTTTAACTCTAGCTCAAAGCATTAACTCAGGTGTGGAAAGTTTAACTGGAGTGAACATTAACTCAGGGACAGAAATAACTTTCAGTGAAGCAGTGCGTACACTGTCAAGGTGCTCAAGAAGGCTAGGTTGTGTTTTATGAATCTTTATGAGATGTTGATTTAATTCTAATGACTACAGGACTAATGAAACAACATCTTTTGATTATTTTGGCCTGGTTTACTGTGTTTTTATTTCTAATATATGATACCGCAAATTAATACACATTCCAATAAAGTTGTATTGTTTTTGATTCACTCTGAGTAATACAGCCCTGGGCCCCTACCTTATCATTAAAGATTCTCGTTTCTTTTGAAATAGAGAAAAGTGTTTCGTGTAATATGTGAAGAGGTAGCATGCCATCTGGACCCTCCCTGTTCAACATCCCAGATCTGCCCATGGTGACAACTCCAAGTCTGGATCTTCACAGCAGGCTTTTGTCCCAGCCCCTTGCTCTTGGAAGGGTCCGCATACATGCTCTTTGGATCTGGGGTCCCATGACAGGGCATCATTGTTACCCCTGTCACAACCCAAAGTTGTGAGTTTTTGTTTGTGTGTGCTTCGGCACTGCTAAATTATGTTCCCTTTCCCGCCAATTTGTAGCCTTCTTTGCATGGTGCATTTCTTTTGCATCTCAGAGATGCACGGTGCAAAGGAGTTCCCGCCATTTGTATTTTAATTCGAGCCCCATTATTGGCTTGTGTTAAATTATGCACACGTGGCGGCTAGCAATTGGCTTGCTAGCCGTATAAAGAGCTTGGGTGGTTTCCGCCCAAGTTGGAGAGAAAGCAATTGGAGTCCGAGAGGGAGAGCGTGAAGATCTCTAAGCGCTGCGGATCCTTACGAACCCAACGCATTTCTTAAGAAGGCAACAGAGGTCTAAACAGCCTCTGGACTCTCCCCGTTGCCGAGCGCAATCCTAGACGTATCCCTATCCTATATACTCAAGATCCGAACCCACGGAGCCTTAACAACTCTGGGGCCAGAGAGCCGAACCAAACCCACGGAGCTTTGACAACTCTGTGGGAAAGAAATTGCCGAACCCGCGGAGCCTTAACAACTCCGGGGCCCAAGAACCGAGTTTGTCGTAGTCCTCCAATGAGGATTTAAGCGGAGCTGAACCTGGAAACTGCCCGGCCTACATCGCGACCATCTTGGGTGTAAGTAAATAATCTTTGAATCAACCACTACGCGTCTGTGATTAATTCTAGCCCGTGCGTGCCTTGCCGCCGCATGGTTTCCTCTGACCCCGCATGCCCGGGCTGCTGGCCACAGCCCGCGTGCGCAAAGACGGGTCTGCATATCGCTCCTGGCTCGCACATGGCGACATGGACGGGATCAGGAGGCGGCCCGCACAACCCCCTGCTTGTCACTCCTCTCTGGGACCAGGCAGGGCCTGGTAACCCTGGATCCCCCAACTTCCATTCACTTGAGTCACTAGCGAATAGTAAAAAGATGACTGAACTGCTGAGAGCGCAGAAAGCCACCCACTGCTGTAGGTCCAAGGACCTAATTACCTCCCAAAAAGATAATTAGAGGCTGTGGGTAATTATTAGCACCTGTGTGCTTTCTTTCCTTCCCTGATTGGAGCAGGGGCAGTTGCTTGCAAGGAGCTCTGCTCAGTGGGCAGGTTAATGGGCTGACTCAGGAGCATCTGCAAAATAGGGGTAAGAATCAGTCTTTCCCGTCTTTTGACTGTTTGCTTCACGGAGCAGGCCTTATCTCTCCCTAGGCGAATGTACAGTACTTGCACAATGGGATTTGATTGCAATTAGAGCCTCCAGTACCTGCTGCCATGTACCACACACTGCACGCCACTCCTGGCAGCCTTGTCCTTCTCCACCCTATCCTTCTTTGCCTCTCACATTGTTTCCAAGCGCAACCATCTTTGGAAGTGGCATAGCTGTGTTCGATGCAGCTTGGAAAGCAAGAGGCTTCATCCCATCATTGCATGAACCAGTAAAGAGAAAACACTGGAGCTGGCTGGAGAGGCTGGGGAATGCAGGAGGTTCCCCACCAAAGCTTGACTCCCCCAAAAATGTCAGTCTGGGAAATCCCAATTGGGCACTGCAAGTCAGCTGCCTCATGCTCTCATCCTTCTCAGTGGATCTGCTGCAGGACTGGACTGAATCTCCCATGATGCACCATAGCCTCCTTGCTTGGAAAGCATCCTGGGAATGCCTGTTGCAGTGCATCATAGGAGACAGTCCAGTTCTGGATACTGGGCCTGTGGAGGAGAATCAGGCCTCCATCCAGGGTTCTGCTGAGGCCCACAGCTGCCTCAGAGCTGGAAGCAAATATGCCATATGGCTTATTATGCCAGTACAAGCACTTTCCAGAGCAGGCAAGGGGTGCAGAATTGGGCACATCTGTTTTGCAATTTCACCTCCTCCTGTAGACAGGGCACAGAGTCCAAGGCCAACGCTGAAGATCCCTGAGCAGAAGAGCCCACCCTCTCTGAGGCCCACAGTGGGCATGGATGGGTAAGGCAGGTGGGCTGGGGGGTGGGGCACTATACCTCAGTATGGCTGTTTCTGGTTGCATCTGCACAGATGTGGGCAGGCCAGGAGTTGCATTGCTTTGTGCCCATTCCCGCCTCTCCTTTCCTTTTCCTTGTTGGGGGTCACTGTCAAGGACTGTCTCTGCCTACCACTGCCTCTCTTCAGCCTTAGGGAGTCACCTCCTACCAGCTCAAACCTCTGTTACCCACGTTAGACCACCAAGAAGGCACCTCCTCCACTGTGACCCCTCACAAAGGAGAAGTCCAGTCCCCTTATGGTCCCCTACAAGCTCTTCTTTGCCTCTGCAATGCCTCTCCACAGCTTAGCTAGGGGCTAGGTGAGAGTGGGCAGAGACTGGTTCCCATCACACTGGCTTGCTGACTCCTGCCTGTACCACTCTTATTGCAGGTTGCTAGCACCGGGGGGCAGGGGTCTCACTTTTGTTTGTACAGCCCCTGGCACAAGAAGGTGGGGAGTGGTGTGGGGGGTCATAAGCTGTGACTGGGGACATGCTCCAAACATGGGCAACTGGTGCCACCTTAGTCAGGGGGCAC